CCAGGTGCAGGACCTTGCACTTGGCCTTGTTCAACCTCATGAGGTTCACACGGGCCCACTTCTGGAGCCTGTCCAGGTCCCTCTGGATGGCATCCCGTCCCTCTGGCGTGTCGACCGCACCACTCAGCTTGGGCAGATGGGCAGGTCATGGAGGTGGGAGCGCTGCGTGCATCCACGCACTGGCTGCAGCCACAGGAATTTTATGATCATCAGCCGCAGGAACATCTACTGGGACGTAATAAAGGTCACGCTGTGATCTTCAAAACGATGCAGACAGATAACGCCGGCCTTTTTATGTGGTTAAAAAATTCAAATGCCGATTTCCTAGGGCGTCAGTAAATGACATAGGGTCCTACGTAATGCCACGTATACAGCTGAGATCAGCAGTATCGCTCCAGCATTACTGCTCCAAGTGACTGCTCATAATCCAGGGATAAAAGAAGCCACAGTCCTCCCCGGCTGCAGCTTGCAAATACTCTGGTTAAAATAATCCACAAATCCTTATTAATTAACTAATTATTTTAAGCCCAAGAGGGTTGATTATTTTGTTCAAATTCAGGCACAGTCTGGGTTATTAAATGACTCTTAATCGTGTGGAATGGTCACTGTAGTGAACTATGCGAGGGACGGACTTAACCTCTGAAAGCTGGTGAAAATCAAATGTAAAACTGAAACCTTATCCCTAGAAACTCCTCAGTACTACGACGGGACGGCGTCGTGTCTAACGAGCATTTTATAATGCCCTTGCGAACAGCTCCTTGTCACGCTAAGAGAGCAAAAACTAAAGATAAGTCCGAAATGCAGAATATGAGGCCAAAACCTTAGCTAGCATGAGCTGGAAATCTGCAGGGACTTCTTTGGAGCTGTATCAGTTCCACCGCTACAAAATCATTAATAAATCAACATGGGATTTGGGGTCATATTTGAATTTTCCTCTGGGGGAAATTTTGCTTTTTAGACCCTGAATTATGGGTTAGAGCTCTCAGTCTGCATTAAGCAGCAAATTAAATGCAATCTCCATATACAGAGCGTGCGGGCTGCTACGTTAAGTAACTCATTTGACTTTTCTAAACATCAGTATTTTAAGAAAGTTTTGCGATAGTCTTCTGCTCCTGTGGAAATGAAGAAATAGAGGAAAATCCTGCTACAGAAGTGTCGTATGGACTTTAAATTCACCAAATCAGCATAAGTTAGTCACAGAAAAGTCACGTATCATCCGAGGATTGATTTTTTTTTTTTTTAAATCCTTTGCTGTTTTGGGCAAACAAGCAGTGGCATCTTCACGCTGTTTCCATAAACTGTTTTTAGTGAGTTATCTCAGGAATAACTGTTCTTACAACTGTGATCCTCTCTTATTTTATATATAAGTTTGAGCTAGAATTAGTTTTGCTCACTGGAGGAAGCATATGTAAAGAGTTTCAAATTCATAAAGCATTCCCAAATCTCTTGATTTTATGATCATTTTTGTCATTCCAACTGCATTTTTCACACCTTGGGCAAAAAACCCCCCGAATTTCATCTTAAAAAGCAAGTTTCGATCCTGCAAGGTGAAGATGGGAAGTTCAAAGGGACGGAGCACGTGTATTGTAATGAACCAGCAACCAGGAGGTGAATCAAGCTGATACAACAGGTCTGAAATTACTATGTTTAAACCTCCTGATCTCCACGGCGTGGCTCAGGAGCCTGGATGCCTGAAAATAGAGCACTTTACTGAAAATACTGAAATAGTAGGGTTTTTTCATCAGAAGGAAAAAACAGAGATGCACTGGTTCCCAGAAGATCTTCCAACAAAAGGTCACTGTGTTGAAATAATTCCTAATCAGAGGCAGCAAGATACAGAGCTCAAGCACAACTCCAGGCTCACGATGCCTGAAACTTAAGCTCGAGGTATCGAACTTAGTGGGCACCCACACACAGAAGCACACAGTTTGGTAAAAAAAGTCCACGCCGACGTGTCGCTCTGTGGTGAAACGGGGAATTACAGAGGGGAAAAGTTTGGCAGCTCCGTTTTCAACTCCTAGGAAGTCCTCTGGGGAAAGGCAGACCATGGCGAGCGGCCACAAGGGAGGGTGAGGATGGAAGAGGATAGAAGAGGATGACTTCTGCAAGGATGACCATCAAACTCCAGAAAACTTGACTTTCCACTCCACTTTTCACTATTCTTCCTCTTTTTTTTTTATTTTATTTTATTTTTAATGAGTTCACCATTGAATACCCAAGATGAAAACGCCGGTACAACGCACGTCAACGCAGCATGAATATTCCAAAACCTGCAGGTGAACGAAGGCTTGGTGGGCTTCCAGCGGAGAAGGTCACCCCGGTGTGGGAGCTGCACGGAGCTGAGGACAGGAGGACAAGAGGAGAAGAGGAGAGGAGGAGAGGAAGACAGGAGAACAGGAGGACAGGACTTTCCAGCACTGCACGCCACGCTCAACCTTTCCAGAGCCGCCCGGCCCGGCGGGAACAGGCATTTCCAGTGCCGCGGCGCGCACCAGGGACAGGCATTCCCAGTGTTGCTGCCGGGGCGGTGGGACGGGCGTTCCTGGCAGTTGGGGACGGGTGTTTCGGCACAGCCCGTGCCGGTCCCCGGCAGTGCGATGGGGACGAGCGTCTCCAGCGCGGACGCCTACGCCGGGCAGGTGCTGCAGGGCACCGTGGGGACGGGCGGCCCCGGCGGGGCGCGGGGAGAGGACTGGCGCTCCCAGTGCTGCGTGGTACGTGGGGATGGTGCCGCCCCGGTGGGGATGGTGCTTCTGGCCGGGATGGGTGATGCCTGGGTGGGGTGGGATGGAGGTGGGTGCTGGGGGGACGGCTGTGTTGGGCCGCGGCGTGTCTTGGCATCAGGGTTGGCCTGATGTGGGGTGAGTTGGCCTGATGTGGGGTGGGCTGGTGTGAAGTGGGATGGGTTGGAGCGATGTTGGGTTGGTTGGCATGATGTGGGAAAGGTTTGCCTGTTATGGGGCAGGTTGGTCTTTTGTGGGGCTGGCTGGTGTGACGTGGGGCAGGTGGACATGATGTGGGGCAGGTTGGGGTGATGTGGGGCAGGTTGGGGTGACAGGTTGGGGTGATGGTGGGCAGGTTGGGGTGAGGTGAGGCAGTTTGGGGTGAGGTGAGGCAGGTGGATGTAGTGTGAGGCAGGTTGGGGTGATGCGGGGCAGGCTTGGGTGAGGTAGGCAGTTTGGGGTGAGGTGAGGCAGGTTGGGGTGAGGAGGCAGGTTTGATGCGGGGCAGGTTGGGGGGGGCAGGTTGGGGTGAGGTGGGGCAGGTGGAGATAGCGTTAGCGT